TAGTACTATTTGTCGTAGTAGTAGTAGTGGTCGTAATAGTCGTAGTAGTAGTAGTATCAGTAGTAGTAGTAGTAGTAGCAGGAGTAGGAGTAGGAGTAGGAGTAGGAGTCAAGCTAGCCAGCTCGAGCGAGTCAAGCATGGCATGCCCAGTCCCACCCGCCCTCCCACAACATAAGAAGCAAAGCTGGCACAACTGGGGGCCGAAGTCACACCGGCCAGCCGGTTTGGTACAGCTGATGCGGCCGCGATGGCGGTTGCCGACGGGAACTGGCGAGCGCGTGTTGAATGCCGCGCACGCATTGCCAGACGAGTCGAGAGTGGCCCGGTACACCGCAGGAAGCCAGAGGTGGCCGGAGGAAGCCCGACGGTCTGACAGGACACCCCAAAGCATTTTTGTGAAAAAGCATTGGGTTTTTGATGTTTTTATGTTGAAATGCTTGCAAACACACGGTGTTCGGTAGGATTCTGACATGAACGCGCGAGTGTGCTCTTTGTGGTATTTTTTGCACAGGATTCGCGGCCTGGGTGCATGACAGAGCATCGCGAGTGCACCGCGCGATGACGTGAAATCGCTGGATTTGACAGAATTCTTAAGATTCCTATGGTTTTCCTATGATTTCAGCAAGAGAGCCCGGGCGGGAAATTTGTACAATTTTTATGAAAAAGCATTGGGTTTTTGATGTTTTTATGTTGAAATGCTTGCAAACACACGGTGTTCGGTAGGATTCTGACATGAACGCGCGCGTGTGCTCTTTGTTGTATTTTTTGCAATGGATTATCGCCGTGGACGACAGGACGTCCATGTCGAGAGGAAAAAATAAGAAAAATGTTGATTTTATATTGTTTTTTACAGGTTAGGATGGGACCCCCCGGATGCGGCCCCTAATGGCCGGCCTGAGGGGGGAGTAGGAGTATATTCTAATAAGGAATAAGGATAGGAGTAGGAGTAGGAGTAGGAGTATTCAGCAAGAGTAGGAGGAGTAGGAGTAGTAGTAGTAGTAGTAGTAGTAGTAGTAGTAGTAGTAGTAGTAGTAGTAGTAGTAGTAGTAGTAGTGGTAGTAGTAGTAGTAGTAGTAGTAGTAGTAGTAGTAGTAGTAGTGGTAGTAGTAGTAGTAGTAGCAGCAGCAGCAGTCGTAGTAGTAATAGTAGTAGTAGTATAGTAGTAAGAGTAGTAGTAGTAGTAGTAGTAGTAGTAGTAGTAGTAGTAGTAGTAGTAGTAGTAGTAGTAGTAGTAGTAGTAGTAGTAGTAGTAGTAGTAGTAGTAGTAGTAGTAGTAGTAGTAGTTAGTAGTAGTAGTAGTAGTAGTAGTAGTGTAGTAGTAGTAGTAGTAGTAGTAGTAGTAGTAGTAGTAGTAGTAGTAGTAGTAGTAGTAGTAGTAGTAGTAGCAGTGGTAGTGATAGTAGTTGTGTCAGAAGTAGTAGTAGTAGTAGTAGTAGTAGTCGTCGTCGTAGTAGTGGTAGTAGTGGTAGTAGTAGTAGTAGTAGTAGTAGCTGTTGTAGTAGTAGTTGTTGTAGTAGTAGTAGTCGGCGTCGTAGTAGTAGTAGTAGTAGTGGTAGTAGTGGTGGTAGTAGTGGTGGTGGTGTTGGTCGTAGTAGTAGAAGTAGTAGTAGTAGTAGTAGTAGTAGTAGTAGTAGAAATCGTAGTAGTAGTAGTAGTAGTCGTAGTAGTAGTAGTAGTAGTAGTAGTAGTAGTTAGTCGTAGTAGTAGTAGTAGTAGTAGTTAGTAGTAGTATAGTAGTAGTAGTAGGAGTAGGAGTAGGAGTAGGAGTAGGAGTAGGGTAGTCGTCGTAGTAGTAGTAGTAGTAGTAGTAGTAGTAGTAGTAGTAGTAGTAGTAGTAGTAGTACTAGTAGTAGTAGTAGTAGTAGTAGTAGTAGTAGTAGTAGTAGTAGTAGTAGTAGTAGTAGTAGTAGTAGTAGTAGCAGTAGTAGTAGTGGTAGTGGTAGTGTTAGTGGTAGTAGTAGTAGTAGTAGTAGTAGTAGTAGTAGTAGTAGTAGTAGTAGTAGTAGTAGTAGTAGTAGTAGTAGTAGTAGTAGTAGTAGTAGTAATAGTAGTGGGAGGAGGAGGAGGAGGCTGAGGAGGCTGAGGAGATGGGTGAAGATGAGGAGGGGAAGGTTTAGGAAGGAGGTCTAGGATGAGAGCGAGGATCGTGATGGTGCAGCCTGCTCGCGTGGTGGCCCTGTGGCTGTTTATAGTCGCGGTCGACCGATCTGATTGTGAGGCTCACGAGCGATGACTCTCCGCCCAGCCCTCTCCCCCTCTCCCTCCCTTTCTCCGTCGCTTCGCCACCCTCCTCCCCCGCCGCTTCGACAGTTGCCCTAACATGTGTTTACCAGGGTCTACCCCAGACAGTGGGTTCTTGCACTCTCGATGTGCGGTGGAGCCTGTGTACGTATGGTGCAAGCGACGCATCCCACATCGGATCCTTGGCAATGCGGGCGTCACCATCCATCCACTCTCTATTGGCTTTTGGCCTGTCACGTCAGCGTGACCGGGTCGTGGGCCTCTTAGTGGCCCTTCAGAGGCTTTTGGGGGCCTCTTGGGGGCTTGCTGGGGGCCTTGCTTGGGCCCGCTGGCGGTCTAGGGACCGTCGGGGGAAAGAGCTCGAAATGCCAGTTCGGAGAGCAGGCGAATTGCTCTGGAACGCAGCAAGACCCCATTCGCGCAAGCCGTGTTTGTGGAATGGTCGCTACTCTCGTCCCTCCTGTGACAACGTCCAGTCAGGCTCCTGCTTCTCCCACGTAATTCTCGGTTCTAACACATCAGGGCCATCAATTGATATTTCAAGTGTGTGTGTGTGAGTCAATCGGAACGTGGATTTGGAAGCTACCTCACAGCAGCGTTGCACCCAACCGCTGTGGCTAAGCAGGTGTGCGCAGCCGGAGTTGCTCTCGTGTAGCTTGACCACTTTACAGAGGAGGTGCGGCGGACAAGTGCTGCCACATTACCATCCGCGAATCCAATCAATGCCATGCCGCTTTTCTTTCCCATTTGGTAGCGGAACTGCGCACACATATGCTGGCAGCTCTGCTAATACGCTACATACTTCCGGTTTTGACCACGCATATCTTAAATTTTGATTGCGCTTAGCCCAAGTTTATCCACACCCACCCACAACGAGAGCAGCAAGCATCCATCCTTCGACGACGACACCATTGCAGACCGACTCCTTGGGACGCTTGCCCAAAACTGCTCCGTCACCCTGTGCCGACGTGGAGAGACTGCACCCGAACCCCGGGACAGTGTCATGGGGGAGGCGGGAGCAGTATGCAAGATGCTTCGCGTAACCCCAACAGCCCTGAGCGGGCCCGGCGACGCTTTGCGACGCTTTGCGGGCACGACGCTTTGCGGGCGCGGCTCGCCCTAGCACGCTCGGCGTTCGACTCGTCTTCGCGCGCCCGCGGACCAAAAAGTGACTCCACCAGCCCATCGAGGGACGACTCCCAGGCAAGTTGTCCTGATCAAGGATGTGGAGGAGCATGCATTGGAATAGCTGCCTGGGGAAGCCATTACACCCCGAGAGGGGGAGGATGAAGAAGGACTCGGAGGAGGAGGAGGAGGAGGGGGAGGGGGAGGGGGACGAGGGAGGAGGGAGGAGGAGGAGGAGGAGGAGGAGGAGGAGGAGGAGGAGGAGGGGGATCAGGCAGAGGAGGAATAGGAGGAGGCGTAGGCGGATGATGATGATGATGAGGAGGAGGAGGAGGTCGAGGAGGAGGATGATGATGATGATTTGGAGGAGGAGGAGGAGGAGAGCGAGGAAGAGGAGGAGGAAGATGACGAGGAGGAGGGGGATGCGGAGGAGGAGGAGGAGGAGGAGGAGGAGGAGGAGGAGGAAGAGGAGGAGGGCGAGCAGAATGCCCAGAGGTCTCTTGGATGCCTATTGGAGTCTCTTGGGGTGTCTGTGGACAGCTTCTTGGAGTCCTCTTGGGGCGTCCTGGGAGCCTCTTGGCGGTCCTGGGGGCTTCTCGGAGCGTCTTGGGGTGCCTCGGGGGAGCCTCTCGGGGCCTCTTGGGGGCCTCTTGGGGGCCTCTTGGGGACCTCTTGGGGCCTCCCGTGCGCCTCTTTTTGGGCCCTCCAGCGGGTCAGGCCATGCTGGGGGGGCCATCTTGGAGGAGATCGATCAAAGAGGGGGTGGGGGCTCAATTCGGGTCCCCGCCATCAGGCGTCCGAGATGGACCTGTAACCAAGAAGTAAACCCATGCTTTTTGCCTTCTCGCCGAGGGTTCTTTGACGTTCCACTGGGTCGCGGGGCGCCCCGTCCAGGTCCAGGGGAGAAGGTAGGGAGAGGGGTAACCTCCCCCCGAGAGGGAAGAAGGCGGGTCGGAATAGTAAACGCCCCAAACCATTCACGCCCTCAAGGGCTAATGGGATTTGTGTCAAGCTAGGTGCGCTCGTGCATTTTCTGACATCCTACCCCTCCCACCCATCTCGTCCCATTGCGCTGGCGTTTTCTCTATCCGCCGACGGGTGTCAGGACGGACCTGGAACCTCCAAAAGGACCCCGTGGTGGTATGCGCAGGAAAGAGGAGCTGCGTATGTACGTTTGAGAAAGAGGAGGAAGAGGACGAGGAGGAGGGGGAGGAGGAAGAGGAGGAGGAGAAGGAGGAGGGGAAAGAGGAGGAGGAGGAAGAGGAGGAGGAAGATGACGAGGACAAGGGGGAGGAGGAGGAGGAGGAGGAGGAGGAGGAGGGACCTCTTCCTTGTTATTCTGAGGCCTCTTCCTCCTTCTCCTCCTCTTCCTCCTCCTCTTTCTTTCTGCGTTTCTCTGTCCGTGTCCCCATTCCCCGTTTACCGATACCGCTGGTGACCATTGGAGCGGTGCTCCAGGGGTCACTTGGCCAACCCTCCAGGGCCGACCGGCCCGGGGAGGGGAGGCTGCACCCGATGGGATCTCAAGCCGCCAGGGACCAGGAACCAGGAGGAGAGATTGTGCAGCAAGAGAAGTGGAGAGGAAGGGCGATCAGGAGCTCCCCCCCGGTGACACGGCGCAGCCCGCGCCGCAGGCGCGCCGCGACGGTTGCCGACCGCCCGCGGCGCCGCCCGGCGTGATGTGCAACCGGCAGGCCGCGGCTGCGGCGGCGGCCGATGCACGAAGAAGAAAAGGTGTGCGGGCAAGAGGTCTGTCCATATCCACAATTAGTGTGGAAAGCAGCGGTATCAGCATGGATTTTCGAAGGTCCGCGCGAATGTCTTGGATCGGCGTCGGAAGCCTCTCACTGGCGCGCGGAGCGCGCCAAGGGCGGCGCCGGAGCGCAGATCCAAGGAAACAGTGCCGACCTCCAATAATATTCTAGACATTCTAGACATCCAAAATGGGTTCGAGTAGATGAAGCCGGAGGGTCGCGCCACATCGCCGATGCTTCGCCGATGCGCTTCGATGTTGAGTCAGATTTTCTCCGCGCAGGCGTCGCGGATGCGTCGCCGACGTCATGGACGCATCGGCGATGCATCGCCGATGCATCGCTGATAGATCGGAGATGCGGCGCGATCCTCCGACCCCATCTACTCGGACCCCATCTGGGAGGCTGTTACATGCCCAGATCCGCAATGCGAACAAATGTTAATTTCAAGCCTGCGATTGGGATAGCTCGTTTTTCCAGCGCTCTGGGTGAGCTTTCGGCGACCACGTCGCCGCCCCTTGAGGCATGCCCAAGCTAAAGCAGTTATGGCCCTCCGACCTGTCAGCTCTGACCAACAGCAGAAAGTTTGGAGGTCAATTTTTCTGTTTTGATTTTCTTTCTGGTATTCATAGATCGGCGGTTGGAGAGGGCCCACTTGGCAGGTCGGACCTGCCAGCACGCGGGCAGGAGCCAGGAAGGGAAGGGAAGGGAAGGTACCACCTGATTGCGCCGCTCCACTGCCAGGAGCGGGCGCTGGGCACCAGAGAAGGTTGGATCGACATTTTTGTTTTGGGCCCCGGCACAATACAGCAAATGACGGTCTCATCGTCTCCCGTTTTCGGACTCCCTCCCTATAGAAGCTTGAGGCGCGGTGCATATGCACAGAACACCGGCGTCTGGAAGCGCACGTTTGTTCTCAACCCTCCTGTGATGGGTTCTCGTTTTGAATAGAGCTTTGTGGTCTCGCTGCTGCTGATGCTGATGCTGATGCTGCTGCTTCTGATGCTGATGCTGCTGCTGATGCTGCTGATTATGATGATGATGAGGAGGAGGAGGAGGACCAGTGTTGACCCAAGACGCGCAACGATGTTGAAACACACTCTCCCTCCAATATCCCTCTTCACAGGTCCTTATAAGGGGTCATTTCCACTGAGGACCTTGCCCCGTTGGGGAACGACCGTGTGAACATCTTGAAGCGTGCCAGATCAGCATTCCCAGGACTTCAACGCCACGAGTTAGCCTGACTGTTACGTCTTGGCGATCCTGAGTCGTGTCAGAGCACCGTTCCTGGGAATACAGCACCGCGAATCGACGTAACTGTTCCGTCCTGACACTCTGAAAATGTTCCAAATCACCATTCCTGGTACGTTGGCCATGGGAATCAGTGAAGCTCTTGCAAATTCTTGAAACGAATGTACGCGTCGCTAGGGCGAGAGCCATATTTGGAAAAGGAAGCGCCCTCAATCCGTGAAATTCTTGTAGTTCTTCAAGCGGCTGCGCGGCGCTAAGGCTAGAGCCTTTTTTTTACACGACCCCTCTCAATCCGCGAAACTCTTGCAGCTGTTTTAAAAACGAATGCGCGCGGCGCTGAGGCGAGAGCCACATTTTGGAAAGGAAGCGCCCTCAATCCGTGAAACGCTTGGAGTTTTGAAAACGAATGTGCGCGGCGCTAGAGCGAGAACCACATGTTGAAAACAACCCGCCCTCAATCCGTAACTTGCAATGTTCTGAACGAATGTGCGCGGCGTTACGGCGAGAGCCACATTGAAGAAGCGAACCACCCTCAATCCGTGGTGAAGCTCTTCCAAAGATTGAGAACGAATGTGTGCGGCGCTACGGCCAGAGCCACATTTTGAAAAGAACCCGCCCTCAATCCACGAACTTCTTGCAATTTTTTTGACAACGACTGTGCGCGGCGCTAAGGCGGGAGCCACATTTTGAAAACGACCCGCCCTCAATTCGTGAACTTCTTGCAAATGTTTAAAGCAAATGTGCGCTGCGCTCGGGCGAGAGCCACGTTTTGAAAACCACCTGCCCTCCATCTGTGAAACTTTTGTTGCCAATGCTTTAGCATCAGGGTCGTGCATGGTGAGGAAATCTCAGGTGAAACGCCCGGCCCGCTCTTTCGACTGGCCTCGGTGTGCGACCGGCAGGAGTTTTCTATAAGGACAACCAATGCAGCAGGCGGAGGAGGGGGAGGAGGAGGAGGAGGAGAACGGAGCCAGGCCGCCCCGGCTACGCCTCATCGCGCACTGATCCAAACCACAGAATGTTTGTTGGCTGTGGGTTCTAGTGAACACATCGCCATTACCAGCCGAGAGAATTTCGCAATCGGATGTCCTCGACGCCGCGGCTGGTCAGTCCGCCAGAAGGGCAGGTCCCACCCTGCTTTTCACTGGCAGACCTATCAAGAAATCGCCTGCCGTGCGAATAACTCTCGGTTCTCTTCATGCCCCCAGGTGTGCACACACTTTTCATTGGTGGACTCAGGAACAAAATCTTGTCTTGTGCTCTCTGCCGAGTCTCCGCCAGCAAGAAGAGCCATCAGGAGGAATGAGGAGGAGGAGGAGGAGGAGGAGAATGGCGACAAAAGGAGGAGGAGGAGGAGGAGGAGGAGGAGGAGGAGACGGAGGAGGAAGAGGAGGAGGAGGGGGAGGAGGAGGAGGAGGAGAGGAGGAGGAGGAGGGAGGACGAGGAGGAGGAGGAGGAAGAGGTTGAGGAGGAGGAGGAGGAGGCGGAGGAGGAGTAGGAGGAGGAGGAGGAGGAGGGGGAGGAGGGAGGGAGGAGGAGGAAGGAGGAGGAGAGGAGGAGAGGAGGAGGAGGAGGAGATGCGGCGTCCAGCGGCGGAGGCGCCCAGCCGCGCGTCCTGTGCCCGCGGCGAGAGGCGCGGGACTGCTACTACTCCGCGCAGGTGGCGGTGGGAGACCTGCGCCTGCTCTCCAAGGCGGCGCGCCCGGGGTCTGCGGCCTGCCCCAGAGAGGAATTGCGGTCAGCCACGCGTAGAGGGTCAGGGGCAACGATAGGGGGGATAGGCATAGGGGGGGATGCATCGACCCCCTATCGCCCATTGATCGTCGATAGGGGCCCGATAGCCCCAACCTGCCCAGCAAGGTGCGGAATCACTATCGGAGGCCTATCGCCGATCTATCGGCGATGTATCGCCGATTCCAGGTCGATGCATCCCCCCTCATGCCAGTCCCCCCCTATCGTTGCCCCTCAGAGGGGGGGGGGAAGGGAGGAGGGCTTCTTTGAAGCACCCTCCTTGACAGGCGCGGGCATTATTTACAGTTGTAGGGCCGGCGCCTTCCTTCTGAGGGGGCGACGTCGCCACGTGGACCCTGCCGCTGGGGCCTTCGGTGGAGCTCCCTACGGAGCCACGAAGCGTTGCACTGGGTGCGCCGAAACACATACATGCGGAGGGCAGAGGCAGGGATGGGAGGAAAGAGGAGGGGGAGAAGGAAGAAGGAGAGGAGAGGAGACGCGGGGCGCTGTCTACTCAAAACGAAGACCCAACACCACAGGATGGTTGGGCAAAAAGTGCAATTCCAACATTGTGTCTTTTGCAAAGTTCGCCTGGCAGCCTGGCTGCGCTTGCAAAACAAGGAAGTAACACATTTCTTCCTCCTCCGTCTCCTCCTCCTCCTCTTCCTCGTCCTGAATTGTTCCCAACCGTTTTTGTCCTTTGTCCTTCGTCCCTTCCCCTCCTCCTGTTCCTCCTCTTCCTCTTCCTCCTCCTTCTCCTCCTCAGCCTCCTCCTCCTCCTCCTCCTCCTTCTCCCCCGGGGAACCCCTTCACCTACCCTGTTCCTTCCTCTTCCTCCGGCTGCGTCCAGCCGCGGCGAAGCGAAGGGCCCCCGAAGTGCTTCTTGGGCATGTCTTAGGCCGCCGTGGGTGGACCGTAGGAAGTCTTGGAAGCCACTTGGGCCGTCTTCGTGGTTCTGGGTATCAAAATAGAGGTCCCCGAAAGTTCGAAGCGCGCGCGAAGAGCGCGCGCGCGATGGTTCCAGTGTGTGCATATATATATATATATACAGATATGTAGATACCATGACGTCAGGCCAATCCCGCCAGCCTGCCTGGGTTGTGGGTCAGAGATGCTGCTCGGGGTCTCTTCGGAGCGCCCTCGGGGGCCTCTTGGGGGTAGTTTGGGGGCCATTTGGGGGCCTCTTGGGAGACTCTTGGGGGCCTCTCAGGGTTTCCTGGGGCCTCTTGAGGGCTCTTGGCGGCCTCACGGGGGCCTCTTGGGGCGTCTCGGGGCGTCCTAGGGGCCTCTAGGGGGCGTCCCCCGCCGGGGCCTCATGGAGCCGTCTTGGGGGCCTCTCGGGCCGTCTTGGGGGCCTCTTGGGCCGTTTCCGGGCACACGCATACCCCACATATACGACACACGTATTACACATAATACACGCATGCTACACACACACACATCACACATAAACGTACAAACGTATACACAGTCACATACATGCTCATACACATACACACATACACGTTCACATACACATACACGTACACGCAAACAAAAACACATACACATCCACATTCACATCCACATCCACACCCATATACACAACAAACAGAGTGCACAACACAGCACACAACACATTCAACACACATGACACACAACACCCGCAAGACACAACACACAACATGCAACACACAACACACAACACACAACACACAACACACACACAAGACACCTCACACAACGTACCACACACCACACACAAGACACAACACACAGCACACTCAGTACACACAATACACAAAATACACGTAACACACGTGCACATACACATACACATACCAATACACATACAAGCATATTAAACATACACACATACACACATACATATACACTTACATACACAGCACACGCAACGCACAGCGCACACCACACAACACACAACACACACCGCACACCATCCACACTACACACGGCACTCAATACACACCACACACCACCCACACAACACACAGCACACAACACACAACACACAACGCACAGCACTCAACACATACCACAGAGTACGCACAACACAAGGCACAACACACTACACACAACACACAACACACAGCACATCACACACAGACACACACACGCACACGCACACACACAACACACACACCACACCACCCACACAACACACAGTACACAACACACAGCACACACAACACACAACACTCAGCACGTAACACACAGCACGCACAACACAAGACACAACACACATAACACACAACACACAACACATCACACACACAGACACGCACACACACACACACACACGCACGCAATCGCACGCACTCACACAGACACATACATGCATACGTACAGACATGCAGGCACACATACGTACACACACATACATACACATACATACATATACATACATACATACACATACATATGCATACACATACCGACATGTGCATACATATACAAGCATGTACATACATTTACACATACAGCTACATATACGTTTACATATACATTCACATATACATGTACATGTACATATACATATACATGTACATATACCCATACACATACATACGTACATACACACATACATACACACGTACACACATATATACAGACACACATATATACATACACATACATGCACACACTCATATGTTTATGTATATGTGCATATATGTATATACACAGCACGCCGAAATACCAGACTGCATTGGCGCTTCGCACCATGCACCTTGGTCTTTCGAGTTTCGCACGCAGGCGGCATGCGCGCGCGTGCACATACGCGCGCGAATCTGTGTATATATGTCATACGCGCGCATGTGCATGCACGCCATACATGTGTAGACACATAGGCGCGTACACACATTTATATATATATATATATATATATATATACATTCATGTACACATGTATATATACATATATGCACACACACACATCGGGGTACCGGGGGCGCGGGCCCTCGCCCAGCTGCCCTCGGTTGCCATGGTGGCCTCAGGTCCCCCGGGGAGTCCCTGCCGTGCCGCGAACTTGCCTAGAGAGCCCCAGGACGAGTCCGGAGTGCTCCCACAGGCCCCCAAGACATTCCCAAAGGCCCCCGAAACGACCAAGATGAGCCCAAGACTGCCCAGGCGGCTGCCAAGACGCTCCAAGAAGTCCCCAAGAGGTCTCCCCAGATGACCCCGAGGAGTGTTCATGTTCCATTGTGTTTTTAGATGTTTTTCGGCCTTCTCGCCCTTTCGCCTTCCCGACGCTCCAAGACGGCCCAAGAGGCCCGCCAGGACACCCCACGACGGCCCAAGAGGCCCTACAGACGCTCTCCGGGCGGCCCAGGAGACACCCGAAACAACCCAAGAGGATTCCAAGGCTGCCCCGAGAGGAGCCCTGAGGACGACGAAATTTTTTAAAATCAGCTTTTCCGCCCCGAGAGGGCCCCAGGAGGCTCCAAGAGGGCCCGAAGAGGTCCCCAGAGGCCCTCAAGAGTCCCCAAGGAGATCCGAAGAGACCCCAAGAGGCCTCCAAAAGACTCCAAGAGACGACAAATACAGGCCCCCAGAGACCCCCAAGAGACCCCAAGAGCCCCCATGGAGCCTCCAGGCCAACACAAGCCGAGGAGGCCCCGCCCCACCCGCGCGAGGCCTTTGTTCGCCCCCATGTTCCGGACAAGGCTTTCCGGAACATGGGAAAGGGATCATGCGCTGTCGGCATCGACGACGACGATCGCGCAGGGCGGGGGTCCAGGGTCGAGGGTGCGAGCGAATAGGGCGCAGGAGCGCATCATAATGATTAGAGGCCCCCCCACGTCCCAGAAGCGCGCCCTGGGAACATGGGGTGGGAGAAGACCCCGCCGCCTTCGTGGCAAGAATCTCCCCCCTCAGCGCCCAGGCCGTGCCCACAACTGGAACAAGAGCGCGCGCGAAGCGCGCGCGCGAAGGTTCTAGTGTATATACAATTATGTATGTACACATTTGCATTCACGGCGTGTGAGTATATTGATGTACGTACATACTTGTTTTATGTATTATTTATGTATATGTGTAATATGTGTGAATCTAGATATACGTATGTATGTATGTATGTGTGTATGTATGTACGTATGTATGTATGTATGTATGTATGTATGTATGTACGTGTGCATGTGTGAATGTGTGTATGTGTATGTGTGTGTATGTGTGTATGTGTATATGTGTGTATGTGTGGATGTGTGGATGTATGTATGTGTGTATGTATGTATGTATGTATGGATGGATGGATGGATGGATGGATGGATGGATGTATGTATGCATGCATGCATGCATGCATGCATGTATGTATGTAAGTATGTATGTAAGTAAGTAAGTACGTAAACATGCATGCATGCATGCATGCATGCATGCACGCACGCATGCATGTATGTATGTATGTATGTATGTATGTATGTATGTATGTATGTATGTATGTATGTATGTAAGCATGCATGTATGCATGCATGCATGCATGCATGCATGCATGCATGTATGCATGTATGTATGTATGTATATATGTATGTATGTAATGTGTGTATGTATGTATGTATGTATGTATGTATGTATGTATGTATGTATGTATGTATGTATGTATGTATGTATGTATGTATGTACACACACACACATCGGAGTAGGCGGGGGGGGGGGGCGGGCCGCTGCCTGTACACCCCGTGGGCGCCCCCGTGGGGTTTTGGGGGTCCCAGAATTCCCGAGACGGCCCGGGCCTGCCCCGAAACAGGCCACGACAGACTAACGTGGTCCCAAGAGGGCCCAAGAAGGTTCCAAGAGGCTCCGAAGACGCCCAAGATGCCTTCAAGACGGCCGACGAGGACTCCAACGAGCCTCAGGAAGGACTCAAGAGACTCCCCAAGAGGGCCCTGGGAGGCAAAATTCATTCGTTTTCCGATGGTCTTTGAAGGATTTGGACGTTCTCGCTTTTCCCGCTTCCCAGCGCTCCCT